GTCAGTTTTGATGGATTTTTTTTTTATTGCACAAGAGGTGACACACTGCTGAAAGAACCGCGATTCTGTTCAGCGGTGTTATGTACCTCTATAACCGCCTCTGCTAGGCTTCTCATTCTTTTTAGTTGAAACTTCGAAATCTGCATTAAAAATGTTTTCTCTCCTTCCTCTATTATGATAATATTTCACTAATGTTTTAAGTTAGGTATGAAAAGTTCCTTAAAAATTTTGAATCCCATCTGATTGAATACATCCTTATTCTACCTCGCGAAATGTGTATGTGTCATTATAGGTGACAGTATATTTCTGGCATACCTACCTTCTTGAGTCCTCGTCAGAATATATCCGAAATCTTTACATTCTATAACATTCAGGTATTTATCATCGTTCATACATAGTGGTACGATGTGTGGTAATACATATGCAAAGGATAGTAAACTCAAGTAAAGGGGGAAAAGGTGAATCGGATAGCCAGTGGAATGTCTCAGTCAGCTGACTAAAAGCTCCATTACATGAGTATGACATGCGTCGGGAAGTAATTGTACTATTTCTTGACGAACCTTACCCATCCTAAGTGGTCCATTCAAGCTGCAAGCTGTCAACAAGTGAGAGGCAGAGGCAGCGTGATTACCCGGTGATAATGAGTGACAGTGGCCAGGAAGTGAAGTGTGATAGATAAATGCGAGACCATGTACTGAAATGTGGCAGTGCTATTAAGCGTACAGTAAAATAATGTTAACAGTAGCATACGTGAGTGTACTTTGTACATAAATGTACACTTTTAAGAGTATCATGTTTAACGGGATATTCTAAGTGACTTGTAAATTGAAAACACTTTTAAAAATTAGAGATACATTCTTTTATTGTAACTTCTTTTCCTTAATTAAGTTTTAAACATGGAGGTTCTTTGTCGAAGTATCCGCACTGGTTGGCTGATTTGCTTAATTCATATTTCTGCGTGACGAGGTCAAACCTCATTAAAGGCAGAAAAAAAATTTTTTCAACAATTTTGTTGTGGGGGGGCCCCAGAAACATTACCTTTTCCTCTCATACCCACCCCAACAACCCCCCCCCCTTTATCAAGGAAACGGTCCCCCCCAACCCAAACTTTTTTTCCCCCCCCCCCCCCCGTTATTAAGGGCCCCCCCTTTTCACTTTTCCCCCCCCCTGGTAACGTAAAACCCCTGTCCCCAATTTTCCCTCCCACTTTTCCCTGGAGGACATAAACATCCCCGGGAGTTTTTATCTTTTTTCCTGTTATTTTTAAATTTATTGTTGTTATTAATTTTTTATTTTGCAAATTAAATTATTATTTTTATTATTAATATCCTAGTTGATCAAGTTGGTCTTGGACCGGGCAGGGGGGGGGCGTTGACCCCCAAAATTTACCCCCCAGGTGGACCCTCCGTTAAAAACCCTCAGGGTTTTTTCCCCCAAAAGGGGGACTTTTTTTTTAAATAGTTGCCAAGAAATATTTTTTTTTCTTTTTTTTTCCTTTTAAATTTTTCGGTTTTTTTTTTTCCCTTTTCCTAAAAAAACCGAGACCCCTCTTTCCGATCGGCTGCAAATTTTCACGGGTAACTAGGAAAAGATTTGTGAACATTTTGGGCACTTGAAAGATGCCCTAGCCCCGGGGTTAAAATGCCCAAATTTTCCCAGCACCCGGGATTGCTGGTAATTTCCCCAACATCCTTTGGGGGGCGCAGCTTAAAAGGACTTTCAAAAAAGGTGAAATCCTAAATTCGACGACCCCCAGAAGAGTGAAAATCGGGGTTTTGAGTACCCGGGGCCCCGGATCCCTTTTTTTGTGTTTAAAATAATGTAGGGGGGGAAAGAGTGACATCGGAAGGGTTGTCATAGTGAAAATTTTCTTTTCCCTAAAGGGAAAACCCAAAGAATTTAAACCCTGTTTTCTTTCTCATTTCATATCCTTTATAAACGGGGGCATTTTTTTAAATAATAGTACTATATCTTTCTTGGAAGATGAACAAAAAAACCTGCGGAAATGGTGTCCAGGGGGAAGAAAAATTTTTTCAAACCCAGTTTTTTTCCCCCAGTGAGAAACTGACAACAATATAATGTTCAATGAGGACAAATTTCAGTTACCTCATTATGGAGAAATTGAGGAAATAAAGACTGGGACAGAGTAAAGAGTAAACTTGAATAGCTCAGTAGAGAGTAACACAAATGTGAGAAACCTGGAAATGATTACTTCAGATCACAGCAGTGCCACTATCACACCCGCAAAGAAAATGATAGACTGGATAACTAGAACCTTCAAAACGAGATGCCAAACCAATGATGATACTCATCAGGTCACTTTTCTCTAAGTTGGAGTACTCCTCTACTCAACAGCTCCGTTCAAGGCAGGCGAAATTGCAGACCTGACAAACGTGCACGTAGCTTTCACTGCTCACACAGAGTAAACACTTAAATTACTGGGAACGTTTGAAGTCTCTCGATCTACATACTTGTTAGAATGTGGACGAGAAAGGTACATCATAATCTACAACTGGAAAATTTTAGAAGTATGGGTTCCAAATTTGCACACACAAATCGTTCCCCATGAAAGTAAAAGCTTTGACAGATGGTGCAAAATATGCCCAATTAAAAGCGATGAGTGTGAAAGGACCAAAACTTTAGTGTGGCCTCCCATCATCATACATGAGGAGGATTACCTAGAAACCTTTGGCTGTCTTTAAGAAAAAAAAAATGGACAAATTTCTCAAGTTAGTAGCTGATCAACCGGGCTGTGGTGCCTATGTTGGACTTCGTACAGCTAGCACCAACAGTCTGATTGATCGGGCCATCCACCGGGAGTTATGGTTCGTCACCGTGAGGGGGCATTGACCCTCGAAACACTCTTCAGGTATACTCCAGGAAATGTTTAATGTAATCACGTTTTATATTCGAGTTCAGCTCTAGGTCCCGAGTTGTCTGTTTTTTTTTTTTTTTTTTTTTTTTTGCATGGAAGAAACTGGGAAAATTAAAATACTAGTTTTCATACTATAATTTCTAAGTACTTGATCCGATTGTCTTCGATCTTCAACTCTGATAACTTAATAATGCAAATTCTGGGCGGCTTCAAACTTTATGTGCTGGCGAATGTTAGGATATTGGGTGATAAGTAAGACACATGTGCAACAGTTAGGTATCTTTATTCCGAAACGTTTCGCCTACACAGTAGGCTTCTTCAGTTGAGTGCAGAAGAGTTAGCAGAAGCAGTAGAGATGTGAAGACGATGTAATCAGTCCATCACCCTTGAAGATGTAGTTTTGAGGTAGTTAGTCCCTCAGCCTGGAGAAGAGTTTTGTTCCATAGGATATTGGTGCGTCTGAAATAACAAGATAATGTCTCTTCAGAGTAACTTCAAAGCTGTTTCACGTGTATGTCCTGATTGGCCATTTTATTGAATAAATTGGGGTATTAGCGTCCGTGTGATAACCTGTGAATATTTCTTCAGATTTACTTTAGATCTTCATTGCTAACTACCTTTAAGGGCATGATACACTTATGCCGCACTCTGCCTATTCCTTTTGCGTGCAGTGACGTGCAGGGGACTGAAGTTATGCAATATGGGGGATACCTTCTTGGATCGCGCAGCTGACGAAATACATCTACTTATTATTAACTAGTGGTATACGCATGGAGAAGTACTTAGGGGTTATACAGCGCCTGGAGTTCAGTGTTTGATCCAGGAGAGGGGTAGCTCCAATTTCTTGGATCAGGAGTCCTTTACCAGCTTCAGAGAACCACCCCCTCCCCAATCCTTGAAGGAATTAAAAAACGTTTTGACATAAAGTGGATGGTGCTAAAGCTCGCCTGGTGGAATCCTGTTAAGCGCTCTTGATTCAAGGAATTGGATTATTATTATTATAATCAAGGGGAAGCGCTAAACCCGGAGGATTATACAGCGCCTGGGGGGGGGATGTGGAAGGCATTCAGGCTTAATTCGGGGAACTGGAGCACAGATCCAATTCCCTAAATCAAGAGCCCCTCACCAACATCAAGGAACCTTCCTTGAGGGGTCAAGGAATTGGAACTGTCCTTCCTTTCGTTGGCTCAATCGTGATTATCTCTTGTTCCTTAGATGCTGTCTTGACCCTTGCGGATTTAGTGTTCCCCCATGAATATAATAATACTCCCCTAATGGTGTCAAACTTGGGAGGCAAGAACACATTAAAGTAGGTTGATTTATAGTGTTATCTTGACCAGATACAACACTTCCTGAGAGATGGTTCACGTCACTCTATTGGAATAAAACTAACCATCAACTCCAGCTCCTGCTTACCTACACAGTCCACTAACTGTGTGCGTAAATAAGACATATGCAGTATTTAGAAAACTTTCATGAAGCTATATTTCGCCCACCAGGGGCTTTATCACTCAGATATAGGGACCAAAAAACTTAAGTGATATATAGGGCAAAGTGTAGTGGGGGGTCTGGGAACTCTTGCATAACTATTTGCAACACAGCTTACCAGTCTACTTTATGAAGATTTTCATACATAATTCTCATGAATTTTAATACGTAGCAACACGGGGTATTTGCTCCATGAGGCATGTATCTCTCGGTGTAGTTGAACTTTATTCCTGTTTTAGGTATTAAAGTATTCTTGAGTGGGGTGTACAAATAACTCCATTAGCAGGCAACCACCTGCTGAGATATGTACGTGAGTGAGGTGCACGTTTATCATTCAGTCACGCCAGAACACTGTGGGATTATCCCATGACATTCAATGGTGCCACCTTCTCTTTGTCACTAGTGTTATCGGTTAGTGTTCAAACAGAATATAATATGTTAACAACATGTATTATACAATCCAAGTGGCGTTCAATTTAAAATACTCATTTGTATTGGAGAAACAACGATGGATGTTATGTGAGTGACGAGTTAGTTGTTAAGGTGTGTTGTCTAAAATAGTTTAAGACAGGGCTGGCCTGCGCCCAAGTAGTTAAGGCAACCCCTCCCTGTTCTCAGTGTTGGCTCACCCCGCGGCATGATAGTGGCTGCTGGTACATTTTTACAGCAATAACAGTACTCATACTAATTATATCTTGGATATATTAAACCCGACGTGATGTGACGGCGCAGCAATACAGTGGTTCAAGAAGAGGATGAAAAGTACAGTGTAGCAAAGATTTGGCCTGGGCTCAGGCAAGATCTTGTTCACTCAGTCCGGCATTCACGGCTACATCCATTTGTGCTCCATTGTTGAATGACTGGTAATCTCCTTGAGAAAGTGACTCGGAAAGGAAACAAATTGTAATGAAAATTGTGAAATTTTGAAGTTTTAAGAGTTTCATTAAAGTGTTTGTAGTGGAAAAGATGATTTTTAAGTAAGCTGTGTTGGGTTGGCCGAGGTATTGCCTAGAGATGACCGTATGCTATAATTAATAAATTTTAAATACTCTTACATACCATCTCTCCATATGATATTTGTGAAATGTGTCTGTTTATTTTACGGTTTTTGCAAATTCCAAAATTTTAATCAAATATTTTAAATAATATTCATTTCGTATTTACCGGGAAGTAACCTCGTAATTGATTACAATATAAACTTTGTGGAATGTACACAAAAGTTTCAGTTATATTAAGTAGTAAGTAACTTTACCCTTTAGTGAAATGTTAGTCTGGCCGTTTAAACAAATTTACTGAAACTCATGAAACTGCGCCTCTGTATAACTACAGCCGTCGTTTTGTGATTACCTTATGCTATATTAAAACTCAAGTGTTTTGTCACATAACTGATTGTGCTTTATCACCTTAAGTAAACACTAACGACAGTTTAGCGTACCAAGATGTAAATTTAAGAGCAGAAACTACTATTATAGTGTATGAGGATTCTATATCTTTCGAAGCGTCTGTGTTGTATCTGGTCATTTTCATAAATTTAAATACAATTTTAGGTTACTGTGTCACGTACAAAGAATCTTAACATTGACAAACCAGTTAACACGTTATAGATGATGAGTATGATAAATGTGCAGCACTAGGTATCTTTATTGACGATAAATTTTGCCTGCACCGCAGGCTTCATCAGTCTAATGCAGGGATGAATTACAATCCTGGAAACAGTAGACGAAGGGAAGAGGCACTTAATGGTAATCAGTCCCTCAACCTTAATGGAAGAAATCCTTTTAGCCGCAGTGAAGATAATCATGCTAAGAGACTGATTATTTTCCACCAAGGCTGAGGGATTGAAAACCTCAAGCTACCTTTCCCCTTCGTCTACTGTCTACACGATTGTAATTCATCCTTGCATTCGACAGATAAAGCCTGTAGTACAAGCAAAAAGTTGCGTTAACAAGATGCCAAGTATTGTGCTCCTGTCTTACTCATGAAATCGTCAGTTTTGTATACTATTTACAGTATAAGAGACTGTAATAAACAATATATTATTGTTACATTTATTGGGCGGTAAACTACATACATACATATTTAAGAGATAAAACTATTCTATACATTAGTGTACCAGTGGCTTCCGGCCTTAATGACTCCAGTGGTCCATACACTACAGATCTGGCTCAATATTTAAATAAATTATTTTTTATAGAAAATGGGTGATAATATGTTGGCAAATAAAAAATGTTAATTAGGCTTCTGACTCTCCACAAGTTAGCCCTAAATATCACAAAATACACACGCTCATAATTTTTAATATCCAAATAATTAGACTAAAAATAAATTGGTCACCTAAACATCTCTCTTTCTCCCAGCTCAACACGTAAATACAGTTATGGACGGAAATAAATGACAAAATGCTGACACGATGTAAAAGTATACAAATGCAGTATAATGCGATCCGTTACTGAATTCGTTTCGGTGGGCGAAACGTAGTCAGTAAAGGTTCGCATTATGCTACACATGTGTCTATTTTTACATCTATAGCTATTAACACTTTAGGTATGTTAGTCTTATATAGCACAAAAAATAACCTAGTAACCTATTATTATTATTATTAAAGATTAGCCGGTATTCTCCCGGCCCGGGCCTTTTCCAAGTGGTGGCCCGGCCTTGGCTCCCTCTTTAGGGAGTGTCTGAGGCCTAAGTCTCCCATGGGAGGAGGCACAAGTACCTCCTCATCTTTGGGACCAACTGTCCCCAGGCCTAGCCACAAACTAGGCCTCTCTGGTCTGCCATCCCCGCCCCAAGAGGGCAAATGGGAATGACAGTCTTATGAGCTAAAGGCTCGGGCTCAGGCACCTACCCTACCCTAGAAGGGTTAGGCATGGTGTCGATACCTAGTAACCTAACCTAATCTGTAATATTACGTAACAAAATTTGCATAACCTGTATATCTGCGTAATTATATTTAACTGTTTTACCTAAGGAGAATGGGCCAAGCTACTGGTAACTTAAATAAATATTAGATTATATTAAGAATAAAAACCACATGAAAGGTTCGTGCTGTTGCCTTGTTTAAGTATCTTAAATTAGTGGGATTGTGCTACCAAATAAAACCAGAGAAGAATTATTATTAACTATGTATTGCGAGGCTGAGAAAAAACTATATAATTTAAAGGTAAAAATATTTGGATTATATCACCATTTGTTGCTTATAATTTAACCCTGACAGCCTTCATTAGTCTAATTTATGTAATTATATGAATCACCGTTATCTGTAAAATAGATCCTCGGTCATTTATTTGCATATTTGCACTTGATGTTGCAGAACACTATAGTAACATCATTTAATTGATGAAGTCAAATATATATTATGTCAGATACTGGGAAATATTAAAATCACAGATTTTTGTATTTAAAAATATATTAATCCCACCTGTAAGGATTAAGAAAGCTTAAAAATGCTTTAAATTATCAAACATACAATATTTTTGAACAGAGTAATAGCATAAAAGTTATAAGTGTGTGTATGCAGCAATTAGGTCGCTTTTAATATGTCGGGTCGTGACAGCACATGGTGCGTCGAGATAATTGTAGGTAGGATTTTTAACTAGCCATTCGTTGACCTACAAATATAAATTATTGTTAGAAAAGCAAATTTCATCATTGGACACCAAATTACCTAGTGTGGGAGGTTTAACATCTACTCCTTCAGGAGGGAGGGAGGTGCCTTGGTATTGGGAATTGGAGCTACTCTCCCTTGGCACTATATGACCCCTAAGGGTTTATCGCTTCTTTATATATAATAATAATAATAATACTTTACCTGTCGAGCTTCACGCTAGTCTCAAGAATATTTTAATCCCAAGATATCTTGTATCTTATAAGTAAATTTTAATACTGGACTAGCAAATGCAGCAAATATAAGCACCCACGACCAATTCTTTGAGGTAGAATTAGATTTAATATATTTGTAAACTAGGTATCCTAATCACAGAGTTTTGTACCAATCAATTTGTTGACTGGTTGTTCATGTATGTTAACGCCCTACTTCCATAAATTTCTTGCTTGCCTGTAATTGTAAATCCCAGAGTGCGCGTTGCCATTTTTATGTTGCTGCTAAATAGTGAAAAACATGTGATAAGTGGCAACGCGCACTCTGGGGTTTACAATTACAGGTAAGCAAGGAATTTATGAAACATGGGTGCTAACGTACATGAACATAGATAAAAACTGATCTGTCGAGAAAAACTTTATGCTCATTCCCGCTCTGGGCGCACAGTGATACGAGCTGTATTTTATTTTCTGCTTGGATGTAGCATACTGAAATAATATTTATTACCCTGGAAGCCTAAAAAGTCTACACTATGGCCAGTAAAGTGAATATGATTATTTTCATTGGGAAATACTAATGGTCATACAGCGCCTGGGGGGATGGAAGATCAGATTTGTTTCAAGGAAGAGGAGAGTAGTCCAAATTCCTTATCTCAAGAGTCCTTCAGCAGCATCAAGGCACCTCTTGATAAAAGGAATATGGAAGAATAAAATAATATTTGTCTTAATGTTCAGGAAGTAGTTAGGTAGCGTGAAGAACCTCAGGGTTGGAGCAGCCTAGTAGCTTCTGCTGTTGCTTATTCATGAAGCTTCTAGAGCGCCACATCAAAACTAGTTAAACGGAGTGGAATGTGCATGTAACTGGTTCGAAAATAGTAATAAAACAACTAATTTAAAAACTTTTAATTTCGTAAAACGTCTGAAACGTAACGTTGAGTGAGAAACTGAAGTAAGGACTGTAGACTCATACATTGCTGCGATACGTACACGTTTGACTGTCTTGTCAGTTATTCATATTCTAAATATGAATGAAAATAGAATGCATTTATAACGTCGACAGTGAGGACAAACATCATTAGTGACAGAAACCTGTACCATAGTATACCCTTTCGATATCAATAAATCAAAAAACCAGGAAAATACGCCTTGAGAGTGCCCATAAGCATCTCAGGTTTAAGTGTGTATCAGCCGTGTAGTAAGAGAAATCGTGGAGGTGAAGGTTTTCGTGACGGGCTTGGCCAGAAGTGTAGCCGAGATGGGGTGCACAATGTCCATGGAAGAAAAGGCAGCCTTGGCCAAGAGCCGGGAGATTGACCGAGCTCTCTTTTTCGCTGCCGAGAGCGCTGCCCGGGACGTCAAGCTTCTTCTTTTGGGTAAGTAGTACCTATACATAAAAATATACTGTATATTATGTTACTATATAATTGATGGATGGTATACAGTATCGACAAGTTGATGAGTAAGACACGTGTAACACTTAGGTAACTTTTTTGCTGAAACGTGCAGTTGTCTTTATTAGTTGGAAACAGAGGTCTGTTTAACTGATAACGCCTGCTCACAGACGAAACATTTCGGCAATAAAAATCCCTAAGTGTTGTACATGTGCCTTATTCAACAAATATATGATAAAATTAGGTCACTTGAAAATCCTTTCCCAAAGCAAAAAAAAAGTTTACTCAAGTTATGAAAATTCTGGGATAGGTTAGAACTTTTTGGCAAGACTGGGCTTGGTTAGCACAGGTAAAAAAAATACATATCAGAAACTTGCATAACTTTAATTACTTTGCACTTGTGGCGGGGAACGAATCTTAAGTGGACCCAAAATTTATTAGCCAAAAGAAGTAGCCCTCTCAGGGGACGTTCCTCAGTGCCGGTGAAGAGCTCTTGATCTAAGGAACTGAACCTGACCTCTCCTTCCTTGGATCAGTCTTAATTGCCTCTCATTCCCCCAGGTGCTGTATGACCTAAATTTACGGGTTTAACTTTACGCCATAATAATAATAATCCACACTTCAGGGTACATTTTAGCCCTTACTGATGCCAATATATTGCATAAATGCAATATATTGGCATCTGGGATGAAGGTGGCAGTTACAGTGTCGTTTGCTCGTTGTTGCGAGTAGGTTGAGATGAGATTGTCTGACGCTGGCTTAATATGATGAATTGCTACGCTATTACTGGGGAGATGAAGAAAGGAAGGGCATACAAGAGATAGAGGAGGGAGAGAGATAACAGAGATAGAGCGATAAATATACGTAAGATATAAAATAATGGTACGGAGTTACGGTGAAAGCTCTGCAGTTCACAGCTAATCCATAACTTGAAGAGAAAACCTTAAACGATGTTTTGGTCCTTCCTAGATCATTATTAAGTCGCTTGATAATTGGCCTTAACGTCATTATAAGTTAACTCTCCAAAGTTAGCTGAATTGCTGTACTGTGATCCTTATTCTTCCTTAAACAGTGAGACAGACCTGGGAGAGGATGAAATTACGTATCCCCAAAAGATACCTTATAGTGGTTGCCTAATTGTTGTTTCTTCCTCCAAGGTTTTAGTTTATAACCGGGGAACTTGTCATCTAATGGCTGTCAGATTTTGTGCACTTTAACTAAGGAAAGACTTGTGCAGCTATTAGTTTGTGTAGGTGACCTTTGGTCAGTGCTATAGAGACCATTTCCGGTTTTGGCTTCTGTGTAATAACTTAAGAACGCCTCTTCTGATCGGCTTTAAACTTTCAACACTTGTATTCTGTCTAGGGGGAGGCTGGAATTATTTGGATCTGTAGGTGCCAATTTGCCCGTTTTACTTTTAAAATTGTGCATTCGTGAAATATCTTGACTGCCTCATCTGAACGGCATCTTATGTAAAGGATTGCACCTTAGAAGTTTAGGCTGTGTAGTTGTAAATTGTCAGTATACCAATAATTAAAAATCTTGGAATCTTTAGAGTCTGTGTGATAACTGGATAATGCCTCTTTTAGTCGATTTCAAACTTTCAAAATGGGTGTGATTTCCTCAGAAAAAAAAGCATGTGCTTGATTAGGCAACTTTTGTCAGTTTTATTAGACAAACTGGTTTCTGTGCAAAGAGTGAAGAATGTCTCCGGCTTCGAGCCTTTTAAACACTGGTGAAAGAATGTATATTCAGATTCGATCTTTAAACACTGAATTCAACCTGAATTCTTGGCAGTGTAAGTGCCAGTTGGCTGTTTTTATTGAAAATCGAAAAATTGAAATACCAATTTTTCATGCGATAATTTATGAGTGCCTTATCCGAGAGGCTTCAAACCTTTAAGTTCAGTAATTTAAGAATGAAACTTTTCATTGGGGCTTTTGGATTATTGATCTCTGAAATAACCGGAGAATACCTCTTCGATTGGCTTTAAATCTTTAGAGCTGTTGTTTCGTAATGGATGGTCCGAATTAGTTGTGCTTTGTGGGTGCCAGTCTGCCATTTTTATTGAAAATATTGGGATTTTGATTTCCATGCGATAACTTGTGAATGCCTTTTCTGATTTACTTCATATTTTTAAAAGCTGATATTTAACTACATTAGAGACTTATGCCACACTGTACTATTCCTTTAGCGTGAATTGAAGCAAAGGGAGCTTGGGCTTACTGAATACGGAAATACCTGTCTCGGCTCGAGCATCAACTGATGAACACTAGTTACGCTAGAGGGCAATGAACAGAGAGGGTGAGACTTAGAAAAGAAAATAATTACATAAAAGGTCAGTAAACGGCGAGAGGGAGAGATTGCAGAGGAAGTAATTTCTTTAGAGGCAGGTGGGGTAAATTGATACTGGGTATTTTTCCATAAATTTGTGGGAACGAAATACGTATCTGGTAAAATGGGCGGGATACATGGCCTGAGAAAGAGGGTGAACTAAGAATATCGGAAACCAAGTAAATTGGTGGAATAAACGTTTGATTATGTAAGAAAATGAAGCTACTGAACACACGTGGAAATGAATGTGGATATAAAAGTGATGGAGAAGCAAGAAGAGAATGAGAGCTTACATTAACCTAACGTGTGTTACTTTAAGGATACCTGTGCAGGGTACGCAGTGTACCAGGAACTAATGTCATATTTGCCTTGCTACACTAGCAGTCTAGTGTGTATCGTGTAGATGTATAAGACACGTGCAACAGTTAGGTATCTATTTTGAAACGTTTCGCTTACACAGTTGGAGACTGAAGAAGCCTACTGTTTAGGCGAAACATTTCGGAATAAAGATACCTAACTGTTGCACACGTGTCTTACTTATCATCTTGGTATTGTATACCATTATCATATTCATAACATGTAAATGTATTGGTAAAGCTTAATGCTTATAGCAGACTCTCGCACATAGTTCAGCCTTCCTTCACTACTAAAAATGAATGTATGGATACAACTGTCTAAGTAATGACGAAGCCTTTCCTCTTTAACAAACGAATAACTATTTTTTTATTTAGTAATTTTAGCATACATACAGAGGTACAAAAAATACAGGTAAGAGCAGCATGCCAAAGCCACTTATATGCATAGCATTACGGGCTGGCTTAAAATTAACTTAAGATTAACTAAGCAATGATGAAATCAGTGATAAAACATTATTGTAAACAGATAACTATAAAGCACAAATGAGTATTACAAAGACAGGTCATATGGTTGCATGTTTTGCTGTACATTCAGTCGAATGGAGTATTCTGTTAGGTAGTGTATTTAAAAAAAATAACAAAGTTAGATTGGGTCCTAGGTTTAACATTTATGTGATATAATTGTGAGTAACATTTAGGATATACAATTTATAAGGTTCAGTTATTCAGTATTTATTTAGTTTTGAGTGAGTAAGTGATCTTTGAGAAGAGACTTGAATTTATAAACAGGTAGTGTTTATTTTATATTTACAAGTAACGAATTCCAGATTTTAGGGCCTTTTATGTGCATTGAGTTTTTGCATAGCGTTAGATGGACACAGGAACTTCAAAGAGTGATCTGTGCCTTGTGTTATGGTCATGTGTTCTGTTGAGGTTGGCAAGGAGATGTTTGAGGGGAGGGTTAATATCGGAGTTAAGTGTTCTATGTATGTAATAGGTGCAGTAATAAGTATGGATGTTTTGTATGGTGAGTAGGTTGAGTGTTTTGAATATTGGTGGAGTGTGCTGCCTGTAGTGAGAATTGTTATCATTCTAACTGCAGCCTTTTGTTGGGTAATTAGTGGTCTGAGATGGTTAATTGTTGTTGAACCCCATGCACAAATTCCATAGGTGAGATAGGGGTAAATAAGAGAGTGATAAAGGGCCAGGAGGGCTGACTGTGGAACATAGTACCGTATCTTCGATAGTATGCCTACAGTCTTGGAAATTTTCTTAGAAATTTGTTGTATATGTGTATGAAATTTGAGTCTATTATCAAGGTGGATTCCTAAGAATTTTCCCTCTGTTAGCTTTGTGATAGGTGATCTGTTTATCGTTATGTTAAGAGGTACATCTGTAGCTCTGTTTCCAAACTGAATGAAGTAGGTTTTGTCAATGTTTAGAGTAAGTTTGTTAGTCCTCATCCAGGTAGATATTTTCTGTAATTCGGTGTTTACAGTATTGGCTAGCGTGACTGGGCTCGGGTGAGGAAGACGTATGTAGTGTCATCTGCAAAAAGTGTGGGTTTGAGTAATTGCGAAAGCATTTGGTAGGTCATTTATGTATAGAGAAAAGAGAAGAGGGCCAAGGACACTTCCCTTGTGGACACCAACTGTAATTGGTTGAGCGGAAGAGCTTGCCCCATTTGCGTACACATATTGGCTTCTGTTGCTGAGGTATGACTTGAGGTAGTTGAGGGAGTGCCCTCTAATACCATAGTGTGACAATTTTACGTGGAGCAAGTCATGGTCAACTGTATCAAAAGCTTTACGTAAATCATGAAGATCCCCAGTGGGACTTCTTTTTTCTCTATTGCAGTGTATATATGTTCTAGCATGTGTATAATAGTATCATTAGTATTTTTATTAGGCCTGAATCCAAATTGGCAGGGTTGAGAATGTTTTGGGAGATGAGGTAGGAGTAGATTCGTTTATGAATTAATTTTTCGAAGATTTTTGAGAGAGGGTGTAAATTGGATATTGGCCTATAGTTATTCAACTCTGTTTGGTCTCCTCCTTTATGGATCGGGGTGACCCTTGCTATTTTGAGAGCTGTAGGGAAGGTGGAGGATTCAATGGATTTGTTAAAGAGTGTTGCAATGATTGGTGATAGTACTTGTGACACTTTTTTGTATATAAAGGGTGGTAAGGTATTTAAATCTCCCGCCTTGTTTTTTAGTGCGTTGATAGTAAGGGAGACTTCGTATGGGTTAGTCGGAGCTAGGAACAGTGTGTTCGGGTAGTTGCCAGTGAG